ATGCAATCTTTAATGACCTGACAACAGTATCGTAACTATATCCCTTCTTAATAAGTCTATTTAAAGGTTTTGTTAGTTTCAGAGGTGAATACTGACATTTTTGTGCTTTATAAAGAATATTTCCATAAAAAATTGGATGTGAAATACCTGAAGTTTGAATTCTAATTTATTATAAAATATAATAAATAGGAAAAACTGTTAAATTATCAAATGAAAAGCATTCATTTGCAAAGCAAATGCATATGATTAAAAGAATCTGATCAAATTGGAAAGTGAGAAAATACCGTGTTATTGAACACAGGGGTCAAATTTATTTTGCGGAAAGTGATGACAAAAGTCGGCACTGATTTTCGATTCTCGATTATGCGCATTAGGTATTCAAATATCTGCACAGACATTCAAAATGTCAGGCAGACCATGTTTAAGTTGAAAGTTTTAAGTTCTAATGTCGATTTTTGAATTTTGGGGTGGGGGTAGGATCCGCCCCTGCAGTAAATATGATATTCCCTTGCTATCATAAGTCCGTCTTTCATACGTATATGCATAAGCTAAACGCCAAACATTTCATAAAAACAATTTGTGAGCAATGACGCTAAATTACGCATACGTTTGCACATACTCTTCCTAGAATCCATGCACCATTATGATTAAAGTCAAGAAGTTAAAAAAATAGATTAAGTAAAGTGTAATCATATTTTTTCTTGAAGATGCATCCTCATAAATTCCATTTGATAAAATTCTACGGAAAGGTGACACAGTACAATCAGATAGATGCATCAAGGATCTGAATTATACCTCTGATAAAAGTATCTTGAAATAAATTGTAGAAGTATGCTATAAAAAAAGAAGCAAGTCGTGTACACCTTTTACATTCCGGCGTGTTTGAAACTCTTGTTTTAATCTTACAACTTATAAATAAAAAATGAGAATATCATTTTGCTTCAGATTCCATTATTTTTATTTTTTTAAACTTAATTTTGATTTAGTAGCTTGAAGAATTCACCCTCTGAGAAATAAATATATGGGTCAAGTAAAATGACGAAGTAATGAAAGGTGCATTTGATTACCGGTTACTGAATTAATTATTCCCACAAAAGGTTGTTGTCAATAAAATCATCCCTAATCTAAAAACAAAATATGTACAGAATTAAATCAGCAGATTGTTCTTTTTTTTAAATAGCATCTATTCCAACAAAGTATGTATATTCAACGAGCCAAAAATTCAGGCAGTCTATGCACCCCTCTGTCATCCTTCAATGCAATAGGCCAAGATACGGTCAGATAGGTCGATTATGTCGAGTAATGTCACTTTATTGGAAATCTCTAATAGAACGCTCGAAAAACATTCTTATGTTCAATACTTGATTCTTATAGTTTGTTCTATTGTTGTACTGTTACATCATTGTTTTAGGGACGTTTTGGATTTCAACGAACGTAATCTATGTATTACTGGTTAATTATTAAGTCAGGGATTTCGTTACTTCAAATTACTAAAAACTTTCTAAATTCTTCCATAGATACAAAAATTTGGTTTGCAAATTTGGCTGTACCTGTAGAAAACTTGTTTCAAACAAAATAGCAAATCCTAAATTTTATGGTGATGTTTATCGAGCCCAGAAACTTAGATACGATCCGGGTAAACTTATCAATCCTTCAAAAAAACTTCTTCTAAAAGCCAAAAATGTTACCAATTCAACACAGTAATTTGACCTTTGAAAATTGTTTTTATTGGTATGAATATTTTTTTTATCAGTAGATTAAAACCATACTAAGTATTATTGTTATATACATATGCACTTTCACGGTACTACAATCTGTCGATACCTATATTTTGGCATTACACAAGGCCATGTTTTTCTCTGACCGTTAATGAGTCTTTACAGTAAATCTATTGAATGATGGATGTGTACTGGTTAATATTTTAGTCTTAGATTTATGATTTTTTTTTATTAGTTGTTATTGGCTTTGAACTAGCTGTCAGTAACTGCAAGTACTCTCAGATGTGCACTTTGTGTCTTTTTTGTTGTTAGGAATGTATACATTCCCTGCCACGTCTGTTTTGTGTTTTTGTTAGATATTTTGTTCTGCTTTGTATCGATCTGATGAGTTAAGCCCTTTTCAACTGATTTTTATACCCCCGCTTTAAAAAGTGGGGGTATACTGTTTTATCTCTGTCTGTCCGTCCATCCGTCAGTCCGTCCATCCGTCAGTCCATCCATCCGGCAGTCCATCCGTCCGTCCGTCCCATTAATATTTTTTGTCGCATCTTTCTCAGGAACTAAATTACAAGGATTTCTGAAATTTGGTTTCAGGGTTTATATAAGTCAGCTATACCGTGTGATGAGTTTTCAGATTCATCACTTAACAACTTCCTGTTTATCATCAAGTATTTGGTCGGGGGTATCATCAGTTAGCAGTAGTTCGCAGTTTCACTTGTTATAGTTTGTTCTGATGTTGTGCTGTAGCTCGACTGTCAAGGTTACAGGGAGGATTGAGCGCTCACAAACATGTTTAACCCCGCCACATTCTTTATGTGCCTTTATTTGTTTTTCGTAAATTGTTTTGTTATAAATTAGGCCGTTATGATTCTCAAATGAATTGTTTCATATTTTTTATGTCGGGGCCTTTTATAGCTGACTATATGGTCTAATTGGCAATCATACTACATCTCCTTATTTTTATAAGAAAAGCCAACTTTAACAAAAAAGATAAATTGGAAACAAGGCTGACAGCTGTGCAGAACGAAATGCTGTTACTCGGAACATTTTCCGATTCTTTAATCACGGACAGTCATACGATCGTCTAGAAAATTCAATGGATTTGTTCGATCTCTGAAGATCCTTTTCGATATTCTATTTTGTTCTCTTGAACGTTCATACAAGAACATTACAAGCGCCATTTTATCAACTAAGAGAGAGACAGAGGTGCCCCTAACCACTCTTAGAATTTTCTGTTATGTTTTCAGTAAAAAAAGAATGATGATACACTTAAAATTTGTTAAGAGGAATCAAAGACGATCTTAAGTTGATTATCGACGTTTGAGATACCCAGTCGATAAGATTAAAACTAAGAGAGCGTTCCGAGATGGATAAAGAGTACTCGTAGGGTTACGAGTGCAACATGAATTTTAAGGGCTGTCAATCATTCAAAGATTACTTCAAGATACACTCTTAGCAGATAAGATGATCTTAAGCACTAAGATTGCTTCATGATACCGGCCCCAGGTATCTATGATGAGCTTTTATACTTCATATTTACGAAACTCTAAGAGTAGTGATGGATACCCTTTATATCATCTTCTTAGTTTAGAAATTGGTACATTCTGTCTTCTCTGAAAGTCTTAAATTCGAGTTCAATGTCTTATTCGAGTTGAAATTCGAGTTACCATTTTTTGTTACGTCAAAGTCCGAATCTCGGCTTATTATTCTTTCCCCCTTCATGTTAGAGCATGAGTCCGAGTTTGAATTTGAATTCGCACTCATACAGTTTCATTGACAAACTAGAATGTTTTAACTTATAAATTATTAATTGTCTTCGACTTAGCATCACAATACCTCTATTTACTACCTTTTATGGAGAATATATTACTCAGCTGATACGATATGCAAGTCAGAGCTTACATTTGTCATACCTAGAATTTGTGATACGCTATCGTTTGAGAGTTTTAGTAACAGTACATGAGGTTTGTCTGAACAGAATTTTACATACAAAGGTTCTTTTGCGGATACTAACACAGGATTTAAAAGAATCTAGTTTCACTTTTTCAAGAATATATGATAATTTGTTTAGCCTTTTGAGTGTAGTAATCATCCATCATGAATCGGTACACAATTATCTTCCTTTTCCAATATTGATCAAAGTTTGGTGTATTTCTGTTGTTTATATTGCTTGAAATTTGGGATTATCCAATTGTGACCGAATTTGGGTCGTTTGTGGTTCATTCTGTCATGATCTGTCAATGTAAGGCGAATAATACGCTATTTGGTGATATGTTGGAATATTTTGCAATGTTGTTCATTTATAGCTAGTTTAATCCCATCTGTTGAAGTATAAAAAAATAAATCCATAAACACAAGATCGTCCCCAAAACAACAAATAGTAAATCAATGCTAAGAGCGTTATACATGAAGGTAAATCTAAGAAGTGCTTTGAATGTGCAAATCTATAAAGTTTTATTTATTTTCATTTATAAACATGCGATGATACTGTAAAAACCTAGAAGTACACACTTAAAAAATGCCACTGTTTATTCAATTGAAGATTAAAACACTGTATGATAATGGTCTTGTGTGAAATGAATGCAGTGGAAATATGCCTTACCTCTTAAAATGTATTTTGTAGTAGGATCTCTGTTGTCCCTCATAATGTGTTTAAAATCTACTGCGATTGTGCACCGTTGTTGCAAATTACTCTGATCGTCAACCGTCGAATCAGACAAAGATGGTATTACAGGTCATTTGCATTAAAATGTATACCAATATGTCATTTTATGTAATCGGATATCATGTATTTATCATGCTTTACCATAAGATAAGACTAAACTGCTTCTTCATTATTGAAATATATCCATTTACATTAACAAGAATATCTAGGTGGAAATTGAAAACCCCGCATAAAATTCTGAACCGCAGATGGTTTAATTGTGAAAATAATGGTTAAGCAAATTATGATAAAAAGTTAGAGTAAAACGGCAGAACAGAGTTAATCCCCTTGGGGAATTACAGTCAACTAGTAGTGGTATTAATCCGACGGCATTGATTTAAAATTACACTAACCATGCTTACTAGTGAATGTTTTTGTTTTGTTGTTATCGTCATTGCTTTTAGCCAAATATTGACAACCGATATCACATGATGAACAGCTACAAACCAAAAGCAGTTGGACATTTACGCGCTACTCTTTTTTTTGAAACGGCGAAGGACGGTTTGGTTTCTAAGGTGATAATATTAAACATACACAAAATAATTAGAATTATTATATGAAGAAAACAATTGAAACAATTAAGAATATAAAATTATATATATTTGCAAATATTTAAAATATACGATATGTTTCTTACTTTATACTATAAACTTTTTATTAAACACAGTCAAAGGACTCATTACAACCATATGATAAAGAGAAAATGAAAAATAAACTGATTTGCACACACTTGTACATCTATCTCAGAAAACTCTCGCACTGATTATGATGTTTAATAATACAAACAAACAAAAATGATTAAAATGTTTAAAAAAAATAGTGGGGTTTCACTTTTGACGAGAGTTGTCCCTCTTCAAACAATTTAACGATAATCGTGAACTCCCTAACTAGGTGTAATACCACCATTGATTTTCTCCTTTTAGTCTTTGTTAAATTTGCAATTTTCAAAAAATTGTGCAGAATTTATCCTTGGTTCAAATAAAGAAATACTTGGCATGAGTACAGTTTTATCCTGTCCAGTACTATAGACAAAATTTCACATAACATTTCATTGCATATAAGAAAATAACCATCACTGGAAGTTAACCAATCAAATTTTTACCTCGTTTTTACCTGTGTACAAGCTTTAGCAACCATGTAACCTCAAGTTTCCAAAAAATTCTATAGAAACACCAAATAATAAAAAAAAAATTGTGCTTTGAAACACCCAAGATATATTTTTATGACCAAGAAATTTTTTACTGCAACGAAATGTAGGATTAACTGTCAAATTCAAGGGAATATTTTTTTTCGATCCTTTTTCGTACGCAGCCGGATGTGATGTACTATGATTTTGTGATATAACACCTGAAGAAGATTTTTTTGTTGACTAAACTGAATGTGACTTTTTTCCTTTGTAATACTGGTTATTTCAAGTATTACTGTCAAGTTTTGTCATAAAAAGCGTCTCTTTTAGTGAATAATTTGTTGTTACTGCTTTTAAAATAATTTCATTTATTTAAAACTATATATCTATTAAAGTATTACTTAGGAAAAAGTTTTTTATTATAGCTGAATATAAGAAATAAGGAGAAAAAGTCAGAAAAAGCTCCCCCAAAACACTGAGTATGGCTTGCTCTGTCTAGTAATATTCATGGTAGAGTCCTATTCCAAGGCAATATTCTCATAAAATGTGTTTTTGAGACTATCCACTCAGATTATTTCATATTTGTAATATTTCACTTAATATGCATGAAATTTTAACAAACGAGAGTACTCGCAAGGTCAAAGGTGCATGTGCGGTGCAGCTTCCCATATTAGGTGTAATACCACCATTGATTTTCCCCTATTAGAGTTGTCCCTCTTCAAACAATTTAGCGATAATCGTGAACTCACTAACTAGGTGTAATACCACCATTGATTTTCTTCTTTTAGTCTATGTTAAATTTGCACTTTTCAAAAAATTGTGCAGAATTTATCTTTGTTTCAAATAAAGAAATACTTGGAATGAGTGAAGTTTTATCCTGTCCATGGCCAGTATTATAGACAAAATTTCACATAAGAAAATAACCATCACTGGAAGTTAACCAATCAAATTTTCACCTCGTTTTTACCTGTGTACAAACTTTAGTAACCATGTAACCTCAAGTTTCCAAAATATTCTATAGAAACACCAAATAAAAAAATAATGGTGCTTTGAAACACCCAAGATATATGTTTATGACCCAGAAATTTTTACTGCAATGAAATGTAGGATTAATTTCCTACAACTGTCAAATTCAAGGGAATATTTTTTTTCGACCCTTTTTCGTATGCAACCGGATGTGACGTTCTATGATTTGGTGGCATTACACCTCTACCCAAATCCTTAATACAAAAACTGTAAGATTTTACTTTTGACTGTCCCTCTGGTATCTTTCGTCTCTCTTTTACATGGACAAGACAGGGTTTTAATTTTTTTCATCCAAATTTGTAATTTTGGAGTTGGATTTTTACAGATGTTTGATAGCTTTGAATTTTATATCTTATACGTTGTCTTTTTATCTTCATATATGAATACGCGGATCAAATCACTTCTTTGGGTTTGCACAAGATCGTTGTTGTCTGGTCTTTTCATGGTGCTGCTGTAGAAATATCAAAAATGTACTAAACAGCAAAGTGTAAGCAGACAGGGTTTCTTTATTATTATATTTCAAAAGTACTTTGAGCTTGCTTTCAGTAATCCCGAATGTTATAAGATACGGTTGTATTTTGTATGGTTTAACGCATATATGTGTCAGACCGACTGCGATGAACTGCGGGCAATGTCGGTGTTGCTTTTCTTTGTTTTTTCATCTTGGTGTTTTCCGGAGGAGTGGAGTGTTGGTCGTTGGTTTGGTCTTTTGTATTGTCCACTATTTTTGGTAATTTCTTTTTATGTGTATGGCAGGAGGGGACGTTATATCCGATGCCACCTGTATGATGAGTATCATGACCTCTGCACGTTAACGAACGCTTGCAACATCTCTCTAAGAGGTTTGTAGGTGGCCTGTTGCAAGGCAAATTTTTACCCCTATCCATTATATATGATTTTCCAGTACTATTCTAAATGTTCCGCCCGTCATGCCAGTCGAATCAATTTGAAGAACCTGGTTTTCGTACGGAATATGAACATTTGTATTTCTTTTCATAGTTTTCATTTTTGTATCCCTTTGTATCTTCTCTCTCGCTTTCTTATATCGTAAAACAATTATATATCTGAATTACAAAAAAAATATTATTTTATCGTTGTCTTAGTCATAAAGCTAGAAAGCTTAATTGAGTAAATAGTCAGTGTTCATTGTGGTTTATAAATGCTGATAGATTGATAATTGTCGTGAACAACTAACAGCCGTTTTGTTTCATTGTTGAAAGACAACCCGATCGGTTGATGGATAACATCGTCTACTTTCATGGCAATACTCAATGGCTGTTTATCAGCATATGTTATTCTATGTATGTTGTTTGAGCTATTCCCGGCTATAAACACATGACCACGATCGTCTACAGTAACACCTTCAGCACCTATTAGGTCAGGACTAGTGTATATCTCATTTTGTTTTTCATCCGGTGTTACAACGTTGACCCTATTACCACCAACGTGGGTATAATAGACATCTCCTTCCTTGCTGGCACATATATCCCAAGGATCAAATGCTGTGTGTATTGTTTTCAGAATTTTACCTTTGATATCAATTTTGGTTAGTGTCTTGTGTTGATTTTTTATATAGATTTGGTTCTTTGAACTAGTGATTGCTTTACAATTTCCTTTAACTTTAATTTTTTTGCCAGGCTTTAACAGTGTAAGGTCAATGATTTGTACACCTTCGAGTCCTGCAGATACTAAAGCATAATTATTGTCGTACAGGGTAATTCGTTCTGGTTTATAATCCAAATTAATGGTACTAAAGTCGGATCCATCAAGTTTACAAACCGAAAGTTTTGTATCATTGTGATGACCAAGGAGTAACCTATCACTGGAAATAAAGCAAGCTCCAGAAATGTTCACGTCATTACCTAATTTCTTGGTCTGGAAAGAATGTGTCAACAACAACTTTTCCTGATTTCTGACAATATTCTGCCCTCCTTGGTCCCTATTTAGTTTAGACATTGGTACTGGAAATTCCTCTTTTTCAATTTTACCCAAGTCTGCGAGCAACTTTTCCATGTTTGACTCTAGTTCTGAAGGTTTGTACGTAAAGGTTGGAATATCAGCTATTTGAATTTTTCTGATTTCTGAATCTTGTTCATTAGTCCTCTCTTCTAGTAATTTAACCGACTGGAATAAATGGATTTCAGATGTAGTGTCTCTCAGTGATTTAAGATCGACTTTCCATATAGACAGTGATGAAGTACATTCTTCAAGGCTATGTTTAATTTTGGACACCGTCTCATTACATTGCCCATACTTAGAATCAATATCTGTATGTATTTCTGATTCTAACTTATTCAAATGACCAATTAATTTCTGTTTGGTATCTGACACTCTTTGCTTGAATATATTTTGACGATTCTTCAAATCTTCAATTTTTTCCTCTATTTGATTCAGCATCTCTTTTGAAACTTTACTTAGGTCATGCATCCTTTCCTCAAGGCAGCTCATGGCGGTCCCATCTTTAACGGTAATGGCAGCTTCTTCCAATGAAATAGGCTTGCACATATGATGCCTTTCAAGTTGACATGAATCACAAATGATCTGGGCATGTTGATTACAGTACAGTAGAATATTGTTATTAGGATGCTGTCCGCATTTTAGGGACAATTCAAGAAGGAAATAACTGACTTGTTGTATCGTTTCCATGGATAATATCTTATGACATGGGCGGATTTTTTCTTCGTGATATATGCTACATGGTTTACATACAAAATACCTGCAGTCGCTGCACCATGACACTGCTTTGGTGTGTTCATTCCCACAACTTGCACAATATTTGCCGTCCAACCTGAAATATATAAACAATACAAAACCTAAGTGAAATTCGTCATTTATTGTGGCAATCTATAATTAGGTAGGGACCTCGGTGACCGAGTTGTCTAAGTAGTTCACTATATCACTAGCCTGTTAACTCTGATGTAGAAGTTCGAACTCGCACATGGTAATTGCTTTCGATTACAATCTTAATTAGCTAGGATCTTCAGTTGTCGGAGGTTTCTTTGGGCACTTCGGCTTCCTCCACCAATATCAACTGACCGCCAAGATATAACAATTACTGCGGAAAGTGGCGTTAAACACCAACAATAAATCAATAAATAAATAAATCAATCAATCAATTATAATCAATTATATCTTTACTTTAATTAATAAATTTATACACACACACACACAATTAACGTTTATTTTATTTCAAATACATATATATGAATTATAGTAATTTGATACCCTAATTATTTTGTACCCCCCATTTTGTACCCTGAACATTTCATACCTTGACCATTTCGTACTTTATGAAGATTTATATATATATGTCATTTCGTACCTCATGGGAGATTTATTTTATGCCATTCCATACCTCATGTATAATTTCTATGAATGTCGTTTCGTTCCTCATGGAAGATTTACATATGTATGCCTTTTCGTATCTCATGGATTATTTACATGTGTTTCATTTCTTGGTAAAACTGTCGAATGAAGTGCGCCATTTCGTACCTTATGGAAAATTATATCATATATTAATTCTTTCCTCATGGATAATTTATATGTGTGGCACTTCGTACCTGTCATGTTTGTTTGTGCATATACAGTTTCCATTTCGGCTTGCACATTTTTTATGGAAAACCATCTACAATGTTATCTATTGGTTGTTTGTAATATCGACACGATACTTGGAAGGCCATATAATTTACCTCAATTTAAGATAGACTCTTGAATTTTAAAGAGTCAAAATAGGATGAACGGATCATATAAACCCGAAGGAAAATATAATACAAGTCCAAACTATATATATATATATAATTCGACTAAATAACAGCCCAACAATGTTAGATCTGTAAATTTGCGGAAGCAATTTTTTTTTCTTCCCTGGCCGGGATTCGATTTCATGCTACAGAGATATCGTCGCACCAAATCGCTTTGCACTATGCCCGACGCGCTAGACCCTTCGACCACCTAGGCTCGACAAAAATCAAGCTTTCGGTGGCCGGTTGTTACCTTTCCTCGTCAGTTTTTTTATCTAGCGTCGTAACACAGTACATGATATATAAGGCATGAAGATTGAATATTACAGATCAGCTGAATTATCTATCGTAGAGGATCTTTTAAATTAATGTAGGATGCAGTCACAGAAATAGTTGTATTATAAGTACGTCTGAACCAGTGACAACTCTTCGACAGATTTTATCCATCGGATCACCAGTGTTGGTGATACAAGGCTGAAAACACATTCTGTATACATAATTCGTCTACAAAACAGACCAACATTGTTAGATCTGTAAATTTGCGGAACAAATTTTTTGTACTTCCCTGGCCAGGATTCGAACTCATGCTACTGAGATATCGTGGCACCACAAGGAGTGATGTTCCTTGTTGCTACGGCTCGTTGAGAGTAAAATCACAAAAATACTGAACTCCGAGGAAAATTCAATCGGAAAGTCCCTAATCACATGGCAAAATCAAATGACAAAACACATCAAACGAATGGACAACAACTGTCATATTCCTGACTTGGTACAGGCATTTTCAAATGTAGAAAATGGTGGATTGAACCTGGAGATAGCACTTAGTTAAAAAGTTTAATAATTAGTAAATTAGAGGTAAGATGGACCCAGAAAATGAAGCAATATGTAAGCGTATGACGGCTGATCGTATGAAACGCATCCTGAGTGTTCTACAAAATGAAGAAAGTGAATCTGAAGGGGATGAAGTGAATGAACAAAATCAAAACAAAGAAAAAATGGCGTCTTTTTCTGAAGTAGTAACTGGTAAAACTCAAAACAATCAAAACAATCAAACTGAGACACATCAAATCAATGTTAATGATCCCGGAAACTTCGTAAAACCCATTTTTCTTAAAGACGAAGATGTACATGGCTCGGTGAAGCCCCCACGATCTCTTTGGCTCACAAATCTAGAGATATACAATGCTATAGGTACCAAAGTCCCTGCGGAATGTATTAAAGGTATTCAACGGATAAGAGAAATGTGGCGCCTTTATATGGACAACGAGGAGGACAGACTGTCTTTATTAGTGACAGGGCTAAACCTGAGGTGCCCCTGTTCTCGCAAAATCCTCAAAGTCCTGGTAGGCTGCAAGAGAATACTATTCGTATTAAGGTGAAAAATGTCCCTTTGTTCGCTGACGATGGACAAATCCACAGAGCTCTAACTCTACAAGAGTGTGAGATTCAAGGCCTTTTCCGAAAATGTTTGAGAGTCAATGGCAAATTAACTGCTTGCCAAGCTGGTGACAGAGTGGTAATCAGTAAGGTACTAGACAAGACCATACCAAGAAATATACAGATAGGTTAAATACATGGCTAGGGTTTTCCATGCTGGACAACCAGAGTTCAACATAAGCATCAATTATGAAAACAATGTAAAAACGTGTCACAAATGCTTGCAACCTGGTTACTTGATATATGGATGCCCAAATGACTGGGTTTGTAAAACATGCAACAAAAGTGGGCATAAAATGATGGATTGCCCAACTGACTTTAAAAGTGAAAATATAAATGAAGACAACTCAGAGGTTAATGTGAATGAAAATGAAAGTGCAGATGTAAATCTACAGTCCATTGAAGCTCAGACAAAAGAGCACATTTCTGAAACAACTGACAAAACATCTAATACACCAATTCTGAAACCATCACAAAATAGAAATATATCCAGCAAATCTAGTGATACAAGAACAGGTTCAGCTAAGAATGTGCAACTACCAAATGTGAGTAACACAGGCGATGACAAATCACAACAAGCAATTGATAAATTTGTAAGAACACCAAAAAACACAAGAAGAACAACAGCAAGAAATCATACTCCACCTACACCTACAGAAAACATTGGACCTAAGAAATCAAAAGCATAGAATATTTTATCACTATTTTTTCAAAATAACTGTTGTATCATATTTCAAAATATTGTATTTATATAATTTATCAACAAATTGTACATTTTAAAGAAAATTGTACTAAGAAATTTTTAATATATTTTTATATTATTTAAAAAAAAATAAATAAAAAAAACATATCAATGAAAAAATCAAATACAGAGTTTAATCTAAGTAATGATGAAATATTTAAAAATATTGGAATGTTTTCAAACAAGATATGGTATGAAAAAGTTTATATGGTGTTGAAAACGATATTGATATGTATGTATATATGTATTACTATACAAAGGTTTGTCGTTATAGAATGTCAATTGACGATATTATATTGTGTAACATATACGATTTAACAGGCCAAAAGCTAATATATATTTTCAAAATCATGTAAAATATGATTCTGCATAAACATTTGTTTACGAATTATCATTGTTTAGCAAAAAAAGTGAATCAGCTGTTTTTAAAAAACTGGGTTTTCCCTATGTTATATTTAGAAACATCAAACCACAGTGAAAATCTATCGGATAATAATGGTTATTCATGGACCGAAAACCATAGTTTATATTATACACTGTTTTGTTGCTTTATAAATTTCAGTCAAATATATTTAGCTGTTAGTACTGCACCAATATTATCATGGACATGGGTGTGCAGTACTATCTTTTGTTAGAATGTAGATTGCCATGGTCAGTGAGTTTTCATAGAGTTATCGTTCTTTGTATAGTTTCTTCAATATTATGTTCCGGATATTGTTTTGTAATTAGAATTTAGAGATTAGAATAGAGGGAAAACGGTACTATTTATTCCGTCATAGGCGACAATACTAACATTTTCTAAATTTACCACTTTTTATAATAAAAACCGGGATAAAACAATTATGTGTGGTGTTAGTACTTTATTATTCTGTTTTAAAAATTGAAGCCAACTAGTATCATGACCAACTTCCAACGGAGCTTGTTTATGTTATCCATGCCCACCGTCATTTTACACCAAATTTATGAAATTTTGGAAGTCTTTTCGAATAATTCTCTAGAAAATATTTCAATGGGTTTCAAAATTTATATTGTAAATATACACACTGCAGTTATTTATAGATAAATAAAAAAATATATTGTACCCTTACATCCAATCACAGCGCTCCTAAGTTGACTTCCTTCACCTGCCTTGGGTACACAAAAGGCCAACCTAATGCTGGGAAAATGTAATAGTACCGGTTGCCCTATACTGTGACATAAAGATATAAAGAATTCTTATAACACCATTAATGCAATACTGGGTTATTTTGAAAACCTTGGCTATAATAAAAACTTGTATGCCCCCATTACTTATAGAAACATGGATCATTTTATGTCCCCACCCCTACATGCTGGTTTACCTCTTTCTGTACTTCTTTCAGATAAGGCTTAATAAACAACCTATATCCAATCATATCTCATCTTATTTAAAAGAATAACAAACAGTTCCTTTTAAACAGATAAAAATGACAGTTCCATTCAATTTGTATTCATTTTTATCCAAAATTTACAACATAAGCAAAATTCAAGATTTTTCATACAAATCTCCATTCCATGCTTTAGTATATGCCATATTGTGGTTCAAAATTTCAGAGATTGTTATAAAATCCCTTATTCTGTCTTGAGATGATAAAAACAAAGATATTAGACACTTAAAACATTAAATATGCAAAATACTCAGCTGTAAAGTTGCCTTTGTTGCCTGTATTAATCTATGAATAAGCTGAATTATGTTCCTTGGGAGTATTCATTTCCAACAAAAGTCCTTTCAAACAGAAGAAAATGAAAAATTATATATGCTTGATATAATAAAAGATAGAAACTACAAAATGAAGCACTATTGAAATGTTTGCTGCATGAATTGACAAGAATGTGAACAATTCTTTACAC